CGTGGGGCCTGAACTCTGGGCCTGGGCACTATCCCTCAGCTCTTCAGCTCAAGGCTAGCACTCTACCACTTGAGCCACAGCGCCACTTCTGGCTTTTTGCTTATGTGGTGCTGAGGAATGGAACCCAGGTCCTCGAGCATGCAAGGCAAGTGCTCTACCACTGAGCCACCTTCGCAGCCCTACAATTATATTTTTAAAAACCTGAATGAAAAAAGATAATCTTGCTGGGAGCTGGTGGCTCACACCTGTAATCCTACTCAGGAGGCAGAGATCTGAGGATCACGGTTCAAAGCCAACTCAGGCAGGAAGGTCCGTGAGACTCTTATCTCCAATAAGCCACCAGAAAACTAAAAGTGGCGCTATGGTTCAAGTTCAAGTGGCAGAGAGCTAGCCTTGAGCTGAAGAGCTGAGGGACAGCACCCAGTCCCAGAGTTCAGGCCCCAGGATCAACCAAAAAAAAAAAAAGATGATCTTTATGAATTTGATAGTAAAGTAATAACATGGAAAGTACAGTTTTACCAAATAAATCTTACCTTCATACTCTCAGGAAATTTAGCTATTCTCTCATTTGCCTCTGTGAGCCTTTTGGTTAATTCAGGCAGAGAAACTGGCTCATTTGTTTCTTCTTTACTAAGTAATAATAAGAAAGCACAAGTCATTTATCTTGCCTTGGGTAACTTTCCTCTTATCCCAATAGCTTTGCTTGTGGCAAAATACACCCCTCTTTCCTTCCCCCCAGAGCTGAGGACCAAACTCAGGGCCTTGCACTTGCCAGGCAAGTGTTCTTCCACTGAGCAAAATCCCCAACCTCTTCTGTTTCCTCCTCCAAATATTTCTTTAAGTGACTACATAAATTTCACAACACTGTGGCATAGTTATACTTAGCTAAAGTCACAAACACATTTTAACCTTCACAACGATAATCATCGTTATCATAATCTACAAAACTTATGAACTCTACAAACTTTAACAATAAAACTATGTCTTCCAAATTGGTGCTAAGTGTATTTCTTTCCTCTTGCTTAGTATCAGCTGCTCCTCTTTCTCATTTCCTCTCTCCAACTCCCTCTTAATGACTTTAAACGATTGATTTTAGTGGTATTAGATACTTGCATAATACATAATCACCATTCCTATTCATATTTAGAACTTTTTACCTTGGGAACCTGAAATTCTACACCCCTTAACAGTGATTAACAGATGGCTAGACCCTACCTAAAAATTGTAACAGCACCAATACTAACCCCTTCACTAGTGACAATATAAAGCTATTGTCTCCCTTCTGGCTCCTGGCAACCCACATTTCTTATTGTCAGTGGAATCACACTGTATTTTTTTGGTGGCAGACTTTTTCACTTAAACATCCTCAAGGCTCATCTATGTGTAACACGTCAGAAGTCCTTTCTTCGTAAGATTCAATACTTCAAGACGGGTGCCAAAGGCTCATGCCTATAATCCTAGCTACTCAGGAGGCTGACATGTGAGGATTGTGGTTTGAAGCCAACACAGGCAGGAAGTCCATGAGATACTTATTTCTAATTAACCACTAAAAAAGCCAGAAGTGAGGTTGTGGCCTAAGTGGTAGATCACTAGTGATGAGCACAAAAGCTTACTTAGGGCAGTGCCCAGGTCAGGTCCTTGAAGGCCCTGCGCCCACTCCCCACCCCCCCAAAAAAAAGACTGAATAGTTCATTGTATGGACATTCCACATTTGTTTAGCCAGTGAATACTTAACTGCTTCCCTGCTTTAGCTATTGTCACTAGTGAAGGTGTTAGTATTGTTGCTGTTACACTTTTTTTGTGTGTGTGTCAGTCATGGGGCCTGGGTGCTGTCCCTCAGCTCTTCAGCTCAAGGCTAGCGCTCTACCACTTGAGCCACAGCGTCACTTCCGGCTTTTTCTGCTTATGTGGTGCTGAGGAATCGAACCCAGAGCCTCATGCATGCAAGGCAAGTGCTCTACCACTGAGCCACCTTCCCAGCCCCTGCTGTTACAATTTTTAGATAGGGTCTAGCTATGAATCCCAGATGGCCTTGAACTAGTGATCTACCTGTGTCTCTCTCCCAAGTGCAGCATCCCTGACTTCAATTTTTTGTCAAACTGTTAAGTCTGTGTGTGTGTGTGTGTGTGTGTGTATACATGTGCTGGAACTCAGGTTCTGGGCTCTGTCTCTGAGAATTTCTGCTCAAGGCTAATGCTCTACAACTTGGGCCACAGCTCCATTTCTGCCTTTCTACAAGTTAATTGCAGATAGGAGTCTCACAGATTTTTCTACCCTTTCTGGCTTCAAACCTCCATTCTCAAAACTTCTCAGTCTCCTGAATAGCTAGGATTACAAGCATGAGCCACTGGTGTCTGGTGGGATTGCTGGATTTTATGGTAATTCTATTCTTTCAATTTTTGGTGCTGATCCTGGGGCTTGAACTCAGGGCCTGGGAGCTGTCCTTGAGATTCTTTTCCTCCAGGCTAGCACTCTACCATTTGAGCCACAGTGGCACTTAGGTTTTTTTTTTTTTCTGAATTTATTGGAAATTAGTCTCATGGACTTTCCTACCCAGGCTGGTTGGACGTTAATCCTCAGATCTCAACCCCTTTAGCAGCTAGGATTACAGGCATAAGCCACCAATGCCTGGTGGTAATTCTATTTTTTATTTTTATTCTTGCCAGTCCTGGGGCTTGAACTCAGGGCCTGGGCACTGTTCTTGAGCTGTTTTTTGCTCAAGGCTAGCACTCTACCACTTGAGTGACAGTACCACTTTTGGCCTTTTCTGCTTATGTAGTACGGAGGAATCAAACCCAGGGCTTCATGCATGCGAGGCAAGCACTCTACCACTAAGCCACATTCTCAGTCCTCTATTTTTTAATTTGAGAAACTTCCATACTGTTTTTCACGGTAGAAGTGCCATCTTGCATTCCCAAGTACAAAAGTTCCAATTTGTCTACATCCTCATCAACACTGGCTATTATTTTCTTTCTTCTTTTTGAACTAAGGGTGTAGGTGCTGTCTCTGAAATTTGTGCTCAAGGCTGGCATTCTACTACTTGAGCCATAGCTCCACTTTTGGGTTTTTAGTGGTTAACTGAAGATAGGCGTCTCAGGGACTTTCCTGCTTGGGCTGGCTTCAAACCTCAATCCTCAGATCTTAGTTTCCTGAGTACCTAGGATTATATGTATGATCCACTGACACCTGACTGTTTAGTAGTTTCTAGGTTGTTTATTGGGGGCACATAATCAAAAAGGCCAGCAACAAGCAGTAGTTGTCAATCACTGCAAATCTCCAAGCAAATTGCCCTGAAATGATACAAATTCAGTGATGGGTGATTGGTTGCTCTTCACCTGGTTTTCATAAAGTGACAGAATTTTACTTTTGTCATTTAAATGTATAGTTTTACTTGTTTTTTGTTTTTAATTGTCGTTGGTTTTTGTCAGGGGCGGGGGTGGGGGGGTAGCTTGAACTCTGGGCCCAGACATTGCCCCTGAGCATTTGAGCTCAAGGCAAGCACTATACCACTTAAGCCACAGTGTCACTTCCAGTTTTCTGGTGGTTAAGTGGAGATAAGCATCTCATGGACTTTCCTGCTTGGGCTGGCTTTGAACCTCGATCCTCAGATCTCAGTCTCATGAATAGCTAGTATTATAGGTGTGAGCCACCAATGCCCCGCTCTTTTGTGTTTTTAAAAAACAGTCCACGCTGGGCACTGGTAGCTTATGACTGTAATCCTAGTTTCAAGAGGCTGAGATCTGAGAATTAGGGTTTGAAGCCAGCCTGGGCAGGAAAGTCCATGAGACTCTTATCTCCAATTAACCACCAGAAACTGGAAGTGGCGCTCTGCATAAGTGGTAGAGCGTTCATATTGAGCTGAAGAGCTCAGGGACAGCACTCTGGCCCAGAGTTCAAGCCCCATGACTGGCAAAACAACCACAACAAGAAAATAGTCCAAGCCAGGTGCCTAGCTGTAATCCTAGCTACTCCGGAGACTGAGATCTGAGGATTGCACTTTGAAGCCAGCCCAGGCAAGAAAGTCCATGAGACTCTTACCTCCAATAAACTATCCCCAAAAAGCCAGAAGTGGTGCATGGTTCAAGTGGTAAAGTGCTAGCCTTGAGCAAAAGCAGCTCAGGGACAGTGCCCAGGCCCAGAGTTCAAGTCCTAGGACTGGAGAAAGAAAGAAAAAGTCAAGAATGAAAAAACAAATTTTCCCTTAATGATGTAATAATGCAACTCCCTATTTTACATGGTTTTTGGGGAGGGGAATCTACTTAAGGCACAAGAGAAGGGTACCACTGTGCCATCAACAGAATGTGATTTTGTTTCATTCTCAAAGCCAGCAAAATGCTATTTATTTTGTTGCCAGTACTGTGATTGAAGTCAGGGCTTCACTCTGGCTTGGCTTTTTCTACTCAAGGCTGGCATTCTACCATTTGAGCCACACCTTTATACAAAATGCCATTTATTGATAAAGAAACTAAAGCCGGGCATAAGAAGAGACTTGCTAAGATCATTCAGAAGGGCCCAGGTTAGAACTCATATCTAACTCAAGTCTGTGCCTTTATTCTTTTTTTTGCTGGTCATGGGGCCTGAATTCTGGGCCTGGGCACTGTCCCTCAGCTCTTCAGCTCAAGGCTAGTGCTCTAACACTTGAGTCACAGCACCACTTCTGGGTTTGTCTGCTTATCTGGTGCTGAGGAATCAAACCCAGGGCTTCATGTATGCAAGGCAAGCACTTTACCCCTGAGCCACCTTCCCAGCCCCTTCATTCTTATATTATACCTGATCAAGGTGTCATGTACTTACTTGGATCTGGTTACATGAGAATCTTGTAGGGTGCATTTCATCTCATTTGTACTTGCCTTGATACTTACCACTGGCTCTGAGTACTGGGCACCTGCTGCTCTGTTTCCTGTTCAAGTTCATTCTTATCAGGGCTGCTGGTTGTGGATTTACAGAGCTGACTCTTCTGGTGTTGGCGGATCATTTCTGCTAATGTCTCTTGGACACCAGCAACTGTTCTCTGGGAGTCCTGGAGAATGGCGTGCTTTTCTGAAAGGAGCTCCTTACAAGCACTCAGCACGCGCTGACTTCTCTCTGTGAGTCTCAAGTCTGACTGGGGAGGCCAATGTGGCTCTTGCTGAGAACCAGCTCTTGAGTCAGTCTCTTCAGTACCAGGACTGTCTGGCTGCTGGCTCTGCTTAACCAACAGTGTCCTCTTGTGGCCAGCTATTGCCCACACACTGGACTCAGACCTGGACAGAGACCACCAGATTTCATATAGTTGCCCATATATATAAAAGGCCTCCAAACTTTTAAAAGCTGGTGTGGCAGGAGATTGATCATCACCCAGTTTGTCTCTTAGGTGGTCACAGCCTAGGAGAAGAAAAGGATTTTGAGTTATGTATTTATCTGCCAGAAACATAGCTTCCAGCCCTGAAGTTCTGTTGCCTGACACCTAAGATGCAGACCTCATAAAGAAAGATCTGCAGCAGCAACATTCAAGGAACCATACACCTTCTGCCCACAGCCAAAGGCACTAAGCATTTCCTGGCTTTTAACAAGACCCTCATTGCCATAGGCTAAAAAAGTCACTCAGATATTATCAGGAAAGAATCCAGTGCCCTGCAGAAGGCTTTACAGGCCATTTGGTTGAGGCAAGCTTGCACTGCTCTGGAAAATCACAATGAAAAGATTCTATTTTTTTTTTACTGGGCTTAAAAAAAAAATGTTTTGGTGCCTGGGGCTTGATCTCAGGGTCTGGGTAGTGTTCTTTAGCTTTTCCTACTTAAGGCTAACTGCTCTACCACTTAAGGCACAGCATCACTTCTAGCTTTTTGGCAGTTAACGGGAGATATGAGTTTTCATGGAATTTTTTCCCAGACTGGCTTCCAACTGTGATCCTCAGGTCTTAGCTTCCTGAATAGCTAGGATTAGAGGCATGAGCCATTGTCTCAACTGGCTTTCCAAATCTTAGTTGCTTGTGATAACTATTTATTATTTACTATTTCCTTCCTTCTTAAATGGATCATGTAAAAAGTGGGTAGGAGATAGTAAGATGGGCAAAGCCAGATAGAAAGAAAACAGTAAAGTCATTTTGACTTCCTCTGAGGAGCTCAAATAGAATGTCTAGTTCCTACTAAAAAGATGCAACTTGGTCAATAATAACCCCAGAATCCAAATGCCACATCATTAATGGTGCTTAGTTGAATGTTATGGCTCAGGCAGCAATAGGAGTCAGAAGGGGATCATTTACCGTCAGGGAGAAAGGTCCAGTGCACTTCCTGCATGATGGTGAAATTCCCGGAGTCATAGCTCCGGACCACAGCCCGAAGCAGAGCTATCACTGCCTCATCCCAGGAGGCCACTTGCTGGTTCAGCACCACCAAGGTCAGATCGTGGCAAATGTGGAGCAGGAGCTGGAGAGAGGCCCAAAATGTCAATTACCCATAATCCTTATGGTAGAAACCAAGGAGAATACCAACACCATACTTAGTAACTGTACATAGAAATAAGTACATGGAATCAACACTTCTTTTTTTTCTTTTTGGTGCTATGACTGGGGATTGAACTCAGGGCATGACTACTATCACTTAGCTTTCTTGCTCAGTGTTTGAGCTATACCACTTGAGTCAAACATCAACTTCCAGCCTGTGGGTGGTTAACTGGAAAAAGGAGCCTCAAGGACTTTTCTGCCCATGATGGCTTTGAACCTCAGCCTGTTGAGTAACGAGGATTACAGGCCACTGGTACCCAGATCCAAATACACATTTCTAAAAGGTCCACTGGTTGCCACCACCCACCTTTGCATCTCCATCTTTTATCTGGAAACGAGACAACTCACACTATCTGGTATTAAAAGTCTAAGCATTCTGCAGAAGTGCCTTGACGTTTACTCTTAACTAAAACACAAGAGGCTGAGCATAGTGGTATACTCAGGAGGTGGAGGCAGGAAAACTGTTATATCAAGTCCACCCTAAGTTACATAGCAAGTTCCAGTTTAGTCTAGGACATATACCAAGACCCCACAGGAGAAAAAACAAAAACAAAACCCAAAAATAAAGGGTGAGTGATCGGAATTAAAAGCTATAAATGAAACTGGCTGTATAGTTAAGATAAAGTCAACCCAATTTTAGGAATGTGGTTTGATGAGTTTTGACATATGTAGCTTGTTTATAACTACCACCAAAAGCTGGGTGCTGGAAGCTCATGCCCATAATCTTAACTACTCAGGAAGCCAAGATCTAAGAATCATGGTTCAAAGACATCCTGGGCAGGAAAGCTCATGAGATTCTTATCGCTAATTTAAACATAAAATAAAACCCAAGTGGTAAAGTGCTAGCTCCCCTACCCCAGCCCCCACCCCCAAGTTAAAATATATCCAGTGAGCTTTGGTATCAACAGGGATAGTTTACAAATAATGACCACAAAAGCAAGCAACAAAAGAATCCATAAGAAGTTAACACAGGAGTTGCCTTTGGAAAGCTAGGGGAGGGAAAGGGAGGTGGAAAAAGAGCACAAGAGGAACTTCAATTGTACTTTATCTTAAACAAAATCCTCACATAATGGGGTGGGATTTAGCTCTGACAAAGTGCTTGCCTAGCAAGTGCAATGTTCTGGGTTGGATTCCCAGTACCAAAAAAGAAAAGACAAAAAAATACAGTACAAACGAACAAACAAAATCCTGTAGAGGATTTTTGGTGTTTAATTGGAGATAAGAGTCCCAAAGAGGGGGTTGGGAAGGTGGCTCAGTGGTAGAGCGCTTGCTTTGTATACATGAGGCCCTGGGTTTGATTCCTCAGCACCACATAAGCAAAAAGAAAAAGAGCCAGAAGTGGCACTGTGGCTCAAGTAGAGGGCTAGCCTTGAGCTTGAAGAGCTGAGGGACAGCGCCCAGGCCCAGAGCTCAGGCCTCACAACTGGCCCCCCGTCCCCAAAAAAGAGTCCCAAAGACTTTTTTGCACGACCGGGCCCCCCCAAAAAAAAAAGAGTCCCAAAGACTTTTTTGCCCTGGCTGGCTTCAAACCTTTATCCTTAGATCTCAGCCTCCTGAGTAGCTAGGATTACAAGCTTGAGCTATCAGAGCCTGGCTTATTTTTGTGTACTTTTTAAACCCTCGAAAAAGGGAAATATTTATATAAGACTAGCATTTTTTTTTTTTTTGTTTCTGTTTTACTTAGTCTGAAGAGATCTTTCTGGGTATCTGAGACTGCTTTGATTAACTGAGTGCTGGTTTTGGAGCTTGGACTCAGGGTCTGAACACAGCCATAGCTCAACTTCCAGTTAAATTTAGATAGGAATTTTACAATCTTTCCTGCCTAGACTGGCTTTGCTCAGATCCCAAGCTCCTGAATATCAAGAATTACAGGTGTAAGCCATCAGCACCTGACTCTGAAACACTTTAGTCTTCTGAAATGCAACTGCATTTTGTTTCTCTATTATACTGATGTGGACTGTGGAAGTCTTACTTCTGAATGATTAAAGTCAAAAGCTAGTACAGATGGGTACCTGTTTGGAGGGTGTGTTATTTGTAGCAGATGGGTACTTTACATCTTGCAGCTTCTTCAAGGCTGTATGGTATTTCCCTGGGGTGTCAAGGCTGAAGACGCTTTTCCACACTGCAGTTACTCTCTGCACAAAGGGTCCTTCTGTACTTGTTGCCCAACTGTGGTAAGAGGAAGAGGAGGAGGAGGAGGAGGAGGAGGAGGAGGTTCTGCCTTCTGGAAGCTGCTTTTCCTCCAGATGCTTGCACAGTAGCTCAAGGAGACAAAATACCAGTCTCTGACCCTGGGACCCAGCAACAAAAGAGGTGGTGTTACACAGGGACAGCATTTAAGATTACCTGCAGAATCTCACTTTTGGGCATTTACCCAAATGTTCACAAACAAGACCACACTAAAGCTACCAGCACAACTATGTTTATCGCAGCATTATTTACCATAGCTAAGATATGAAACCAACCCAGATGCCCCTCAGTAGATGAATGGATCAAGAAAATGTGATATATGCACAACAGAATTGCATGTCTCCATCAGAAAGAATGACATTGCCCCATTTGTTAGGAAATAGAAAGACTTGGAAAAAATTATATTAAGTAAGCCAGACTCAAACATAGATCCCATGGTTTCTCTTATTTGCAATAACTAATATATGTCTAGGACAAGCAGAAAAGGTCAAAAGATATGTACATATGACCATATAAGATGATGCTAAGAGAAATGAACTCCAAGATAGGGACACAAGTGGTTTTATCTTTCTTGCTGCTGTTTTTAATGTATTTATAATGTACTATGTGATTTTTTTGTTTCTCTTGTATGTTCTTCCCCCATGGTATAACCCGTTTTCACTGTATTTGATTCCAGTGCCCTGCCTCTGGTATATGCGTTTTTCCAATTTGGGGAGGGGAAGGGAAATAACAAAAAGTTGAAATAAGGATACAGGCTGACCTATTGGAACAATGAGATGTACAAGACACTATGTTGAAAACAAACTTTTACAACTTCGGGAGAGGTGGGGGAAGAGGGAAGAATTGGAGAGGTGGAGAGAGAAGGGACAATAGGGGAAAAACCAAGGAGGAGGTAACAATGCTCAATAGGAAATATACTCATTGCCTTACTCATGTAACTGTAACCCCTCTGTACAGTATCTTTGTTTTAACCTTACATTTATTTTTTATTTTTTTTACCCCCTCCATTGTTTTCCCCCTACCATCCCCTCCCTCCCTCCCTTCCCCGAGGTTCTTTTTTTTTTTTGATTGTGATTAAGTGATTACATAATTTCCGGAAATTCACAGTATTGTGGAATAATGATGCTCATTTAAAGTCACAAGTTCATTCTAACTTTCCTGGAGCAAATTGTCTATCACAGTCTGTTATAATGGTGCTCACATGTTATAATACCATATATGTGATCATTTTTAATCATTATACCTTTAAGTAGTTGTACAAAAAAATTCCCATTCTACAAAACAGTATACGAGTAAAATTCTGTGTAGTATCTTTACAATAAAAAATATATACCAAAAATTATCCGCAGAGCTTTCCCAAGTTTCTCAAAAGAATCTATTTTCAATCTGTAACACCTGAGCCCTGTCAAAATGAGCTTCCTGTACGATTTGAGTCATGTGTGCGAGGAATAAGAGAATCTGACAGGCATTTTCCAGATGCCATTTTAGGGATGTCTCCTCTTGGGCCTTGGAGGCCCCCACGTTAATGACATAGATATACCCATCTCTACAGTGGTGGCTCACACCTGTAATACTAGCTGCTCAGGAAGCTGAGATCTGAGGATTGCAGTTCAAAGCCAGCCCATACAGATAAGTCCCCATGAGACTCTTATCTCCAAGTAATCACTCTAAAACTGGAAGTGATGTATGGCTCAAGTGGTAGAGTGATAGCCTTGAACATAAGGAGGTTGAGGGGCAGCGCCCAGGTCCTGAGTTCAAGCCCCAGTTATGGCACAAAGAAACACAACCCTCCTCTCCCCCATGAAAAAACACCAAACAAACATGCAGAACTCTCAACTATAGCTCACTCACAAAAACTAATGCCACGTATGGGTCAGCCACCTAAGATTTGTGGTCCGGTTGAGAAAACATGGGCTGTGCGCATCTGGTTCATTCTCCCTCCCAAACTTCAGATAAAGGAATGAACACAAGGGTGAAAGTGTAGGAGCAGATAAACTGTAGGTGTGAGTCCTGGGGCTTTTTTCTTTTTGCTTATGTGGTGCTGAGGAATCGAACCCAGGGCCTCATGCATGCAAGGCAAGGGCTCTACCATTGAGCCACCTTCCCAGCCCCCCAAAGTCTTTTTGCTTAAGATTAGACTCTATTACTTGAGCCACAGCTCCACTTCCAGCATTTTTTGGGGGATAATTGGAGAGAAGAGTCATGCCCAGGCTGGCTTTGAACTATGATTCCCAGATCCTAGCCTCCTGAGTAGCTAGGTTTATGGGTGTGAGCCACTGGACCCTTCCTATTTTATTGTCAGCCGTGGGCTTGAATCAGGGCCCTAGGTGCTGTCTCTGAGATTTTTTGCTGAAGATTACACTTTACTGGTAGTGAACCACAGCGCCACTTCCAACCCTTCTCCCTCCCACTTTTTTTTTTGTTGGTCGTGAGTTTGAACTCTGGGCCTGCCCAGAGCTCTTCAGTTCAAGGCAAGCTCTCTACCACTTACGCCACAGCGCCACTTCCGGTTTTCTGGTGGTTAATTGGAGATGAGTCTCATGGACTTTCCTGCCCAAGCTGGCTTTGAACGGCAATCCTCATATCTCAGTCTTCTGAGTAGCTAGGATTTACAGGTGTGAGCCACTGGGCACCTGGCCCAACCCTTCCTTTTTAAATACCAAGAATGGAATTACCAGACTGACCTGTAGACTTTCATGCAGCTGCAAGGCTTCCTGGGCTCCTACCCAGTTCTTGGCCAGCAGCAATTCTTGGGCACATCTGAGAGCCAGCGAAGCAGAGAGCTCATTTTCTCCAACAATCACAGCCAGCTCTGCAGCCGTTCTAAGTGATGCAGCATCCCCCTTCTTGGCCAAAACTTTGGCTGCATCGTAAGTAGAAGTGGCACCTAAATAGCTGCAATATGAATAAAAACACAGAAACTCATAAACATCTAATCCTGCTCCCCAGAAGGCAGAATTGCTTCTTTCTGTTCACTTTGCTGCATGTACAGTCCTATAGTCTTAGGTGTCACTATGTCAGATTGTTCCTATGAAGGCTGAGGCCAGGACAGCTCAGCACAGTGTAAAAGACAATCTGAATAATCCCTCCTAGTCTCCTTAATGGTATAAGTCAACACTAGAAAAAAAGTAACATTTCTTAGTCTGCTACTCAAGTTTGTTGATTTGTTATGGTCGACAAATACTGAGATGGGGCTGGGAAGGTGGCTCAGTGGTAGAGTGCTTGCCTTGCATGCATGAGGCCCTGGGTTCAACTCCTCAGCACCACATAAGCAGAAAAAAAGCCAGACATGGTGTTATTGCTCAAGTGGTAGAGCATTAGCCTTAATCTGAAGAGCTGAGGAAGAGTGCCCAGGCCCAGAGTTCAGGCCCCACGACTGGCCAAAAAAAAAAAAAAAAAAAATACTGAGAGGATAGGACTTTAAGAGGCAACTTAAAAAGATGCTTTCAGTGACCCTGTGAATGACCTATAAGTCCCCCAATTTTTTTTTTTTTTTTTTTGTTGGCCATGGGGCTTGAACTCTGGGCCTGGGCGCTGTCCCTCAGCTCTTCAGCTCAAGGCGAGCACTCTACCACTTGAGCTACAGCGCCACTTCCGGTTTTCTGGTGGTTTATTGGAGATAGGAGTCTCATGGTCTCTCCTGCCCGGGCTGGCTTTGAACTGTGATCCTCAGATCTCAGCCTCCTGAGTAGCTAGGATTACAGACGTGAGCCACCAGCGCCCGGCTCCCCCAATTTTTTATCTGTGCCCTGTGACCTGAGCTATTCTCTGTGGCAGTCACTTTATATCTTCTGGAAAAAGAAGATTCACTGGTAAGTGTCACGTGGAAGGAAAACTACCCCTCAAACAGGTAATGTCTTCTTATCATCTTTAAAGAAAACAGCCCAAACTCAGGAGACTACCTTGTTCCTGTTCTATTCCATAACTTCGCTAAGGACAAAGACTGAGCTAGTAGTCAACCAGGCCTCCCTCATGTATTACCTGGGATTATTTGAACTATGCATACTTTTTCAGTCTCTGCTACCAACTCTCGCTATTTAGCCTGAAGCCAATCTCTGCACCCCTGCAGATGGCTGAAGATATAATGGAGTATCTTCCCATGGCTGCCATGTAATAAACCTCCTTTCTCTGTCCTTCATGTGTGTCTTTCTTTGGCATATGGGGGTAAATGGTCAGACTTACTAACTGAACAGTCCTAGATTCTGGGCCTGGAGTCTAAAAACTTGGTTTCAGAAACTTGGGCTTACTATATGCCTTTAAATATTTTTGTGATATTTCAGTGGAAATATGTTGTGCATACTGAGTGCATGGATGGAAATATCACAGTAAGGCCTACTTATAATTACAAAAATTTTTTTTTTGGTCGGTTATGGGGCTTGAACTCTTGGCCTGAGTGCCGTCCCTCAGCTCTTCAGCTCAAGGCAAGCGCTCTACTGCTTGAGCTACAGAGCCACTCCGGGTTCTTTAGTACTTTACTGGAGATAAGAGTCTCAAGGACTTTCCAGATGGGCTGGCTGTGAACTGTGATCCTCAGATCTCAGCCTCCTGAGTAGCTAGGATTACAGGTGTGAGCCCCCAGTGCCCGGCTTACAAACATTTCTTAACTCAAAATAAAATAAGATTATCTAGCTGTTTATCTCCATTTCTCACTACAGTAGGTTAACTCTTGTCCTGCTCTATTATCAAGAGCATCTGAGTTCCCCTCAGGCTTACCATTTGGCTGCTATGGCATAATGGCCATCTCTTTCCAGGATGGTTCCCCAGCTGAGGTACAGGTCTTTTAAGACTGGGTCCTCGGGCCTCAGCCGGGCCTTGGCAACTGCAATAGCTTCTCTAAAGGCAAGAAAGAACAAGTTACTTCAGCATTTTTTTCCCCTGAGTCAGTACTGGGGCTTAGAAATAAGGCTCATGATCTCCATCAGCTTTTCTTGGTTCTTTACTGTGTGAGCCACACCCTACTTCTGGCTTTTTGCTGGGGCTAGTTGGAGATAAAAGTCTCTCAGTCTCTCACATTTGTCTGCCTGGGCTGGCTTTGAACCTCGATCCTCAGATCTTAGCCTCCTGAGTAGCTAGGATCATAGGCCTAAGCCACTGCCTAGCAACTTCAGTAAATATACAGGCTCTAAGAGGGGCTAGGAGAACAAATGCCTTTTGTTCTCATTTCCTGAAAAAAAAAAAAAATTCCCATCACATGGAGCAGATTAAAAAAGTGCTCTGGATCAACAGATCAACAGTTTTGTTTTTTGCCAGTCCTGAGGCTTGAACTCAGGGTCTGGGCACTGTCCTTGAGCTGCTTTTGCTCAAGGCTAGCACTCTACTACTTGAGTCACAGCGCCAACTTTTGGCCTTTTCTGCTTATGTGATACTAAGGAATCGAACCCAGGGCTTCATGCATGCTAGGCAAGCACTCTACCACTAAGCCACCTTCCCAGCCCAGATCAACAGATTTTTTTTTTTTTTTGGTTGGTCGTGGGGCTTGAACTCTGGGCTTGGGCAGTATCCCTGTGCTCTTCAGCTCAAGGTGAGCACTCTACCATTTGCGCCACAGTACCACTTCCGGTTTTCTAGTGGTATTGGAGATGAGTCTCATGGACTTTCCTGCATGGGCTGGCTTTGAATCATGATTCTCAGATCTCAGCCTCCTGAGTAGCTAGGACTAGAGGCATGAGCCACCAGCACCCGGTAAGATCAACAATTTTTAAAGAACGGTCTTTGGATTTCTGTTGGGAGGGTTCATGAGGTCAAAACCATTTTCTAATAATGTCAAGAAGTTATTTGACCTTTAAAAATTGTTGATGGGGCTGGGAAGGTGGCTTAGTGATAGAGTGCTTGCCTAGCATGGGTGAAGCCCTGGGTTCGATTCCTCAGTGTCACATAAACAGAAAAAGCCAGAAGTGGTGAGGTGGCTCAAGTGATAGAGTGTTAGCCTTGGCAAAAGAAGTTCAGGGTCAGTGCCCAGGCACTGCCCCAGGAAGGCAAATGGACCCCTTCCTACCTCCCAAAAAACTGTTGATATTGCTGGACTCCAGGGGTTCATGTCTATAATCCTTGATACTCAGGAGGCTGAGATCTGAGGATTGAAGCCAGCTTGGGCAGAAAAGTTCCTGTAATACTTTTAGCTCCAATTAACCACTCAAAAAAATGAAAGTGGCATAGTAGCTCAAAGTGGTAGAGTGCTGGCCTTGAGCAAAAAGTCCTCAGGCCCCAAGTTAAGCCCCAGAGTGACAAAAACAAACAAAAAATAACCTGCTGATGCTTGCACTGACTGGGCAAAAGCAACTGTGGACAAAACTGCTGATTTGGTAAGAATCAATGTAGAGCCTTTGTGGTGGTATATACCTGTAATCCTAGCATTTAGGAGGCTAAGGCAGGTTAGAAGCTAACCTGGATGACTGAAGGTTTTTGAATTCTTATGGTGATTTATGCAAAATCCTAAGGAGATAAAACATGAATGAAACTGGGTTTAATATTAAAATAGTAATAACAAAAAATAGGACTGTCAGTGACTTATTCCTGTAATCCTCAACTACTCAAGAGACAGAGCTGAGTCTTGAGGTTTGAAGCCAGCTCAGGCAGCAAAGTCTATGAGACTCTTATCACCAGTTAATCACCAAAAAGAGAACGCAGGAAGTGGAGCTGAGGCTCAAGTGGCTCAAGCACTTCTCTAACACGTGAGAGGCACCACAACCAATCCCAGTACCACAACAAATAAACACATGAATACATACATACACATACAAACTTTTCAGTGAAAATGAGAATTTTCACTGTGGGAACCTGACAGTTCTCCAAAGATAAAGATATTTCTGTAGAGTGATTGTGATATTAAGTACTGTGATTTTTTGATGTTTTATTATAAAATATGCCAATCTATATAAATAGATTTATATTACTCAGAAACTAATATTTTCCAAATGGCCTACAACTTTTGAGTCTGAGCTATAGAAAATAGGTACAAGAAAGTAAAACTAACAACCCCTCCCCAAAAACTTCATTTCTTCCGGAAAATTAATCTCATCAATTATGTAATTCAATATAAATGATGTAAAATATATAAAATGATATGATATAAAATGGGGCTGGGAAGGTGGCTCAGTGGTAGTGTTTGTCTTGCCCTAGGTTCGATTCCTCAGCACCCTGTAAGTAGAAAATGTGGAAGTGGTGCTGTGGCTCAAATGGTAGAATGTTAGTCTTGAGCTGGAGAGCTGAGGGACAGCGCCCAGGCCTAGAGTTCAGGCCCCATGACCGGCGCACACACACACAAAAAAAGATATAAAATGATGTAAAATTCAATATAAATAATACATAACAATTTCAACTAAATGGCAAGCATTGTCAAAGTAAATTAAAAGCAAACAAAAAACAAGACCCAATTGTATGCTATCTATAAGAACTATTTTTCCTTGGCTGGCCAGTGGCTCATGCCTGAAATTGTAGATACTCAAGAGGCTGAGATATGAGGATCTTGGTTCAAAGCCAGCCTGGGCAGACAAATCAGTCATATCTCCAATTAACAGGAAAAAAAAAAGCCAGGAGTACAGGTGTGGCTCAAATGGTTGAGCACCAGCCTTGAGTGAAAAGGCTCAAGGAAGAGCAAGAAACCCCAGTACTGCACAGAAAGAAA